TATTTCAAGTGTTCAGCTGCTATATTATCTTCATCTGCAGATTTATTATTTTTCATAGATGCTAAAATATTCTTCATTTCATCTTCTGTTCCAGGTAAAATATTTTCTATTTTATTTTCAGTAAATGTTTTCGTTAAATGGTTTATATCATTTTTCACCAAATTAAAGTGTTCTTTGTCAAAGTTTTCAGAGTCCATAGGAGTCACCAAGTCTTGAAAATATTCTGCCCATCCATCACGGATCAAGTGATCGTTATTTAAAGAAATATCATTAAAAGTAAGCGCAGACGTAGTAGTATTTGCTGGATCTCGTTGTTTTCTTACTAAAGAATAAAAAACTGGCATCATTTCCTTCATGGAGTTCCATAATTTTCTGACACTTATTAATTCTTAAGCTTGCCTTAGGTTGTCCTTGCATATATCTAAGTTTATGTTTATAAAATTTAATATTTTGAAATAAAATGTTATTCTTATCGTTTGGTCGACCAGTGGCTTTCCATTTTTGCAAAATGATCTCTGTTCATGTTAGCTAAATTTTCTAATTCAGGAGTCCCTGACTTTTTCTTCAACTTTTTACTAAATTTTGAACGTTTAAAACGGCTGCATTTTGAAGCTGATGTTGCCAATTTTGAACATAATTCATTAATCTTATCCGGTAAATTTTCCAATGTCAGATTGAGTTTTTTTCATCAGTCCAAGGTGACAGTTTATTTTCAATCTCCTCCTGATAAACAGTTTTATCTACCGTATTCCAATTTATTCTTTTATTCTGAATAGTTAAGTCAGTTTCCTCATTCGCTTGTATTGTATATGTAATAGTTGCTAATATTGGATCATGCGTAGAGGTATTTATAGACTCACGTATAAAAGTCAAATAATTGTTAATGACACTTCTGCTTTCTAAAAATAATCAATCTGGGAAGTGCCCCTTCCATTTTAATGATAAAGGTAAAAGTCTTCCTACAAGACGGCGGTATTGAAAGGTTCTTTTCCTTTATAAAATCTCTAAAAACTTTATCTTGTTTAGAATCTCTAAAAATTGAGGCATTCACGTCCCCACCTATCACAATACTAAATACGTTGCTATATTTTGTATAAATCTCAGATAGCTCATCAAGGATTTCCTGATAATTGTTTATACTATTTGCATTCCCACGACAAGGAAGATATGTAGATAAAAATATAAATGGTTGAGCAATATTAAACTTGATAACAACAATTCTATTTTCCACATCTGGTAATAGTTCAACAAATTTTTCAAATTTCTTATGTATACAGATGGCCACTCCAGCATGACCCCTACGACGCTCATACGCACTAGTTGGTGAGTTATCATCATAACATTTTGTATAACATATGAAGTCTTGTAAAAATTCATCAAGTTTATGTTTTTCATAACTATGGAGCCAATGATCTTGTAAAAACAAAATATCGGAACGTTTTGAAAGAACTTCAAGGTATATCTTATGGCTATTAAATCCCTCAATATTAAATGTCATTTCTGTTGGTAAACCCGTGGCGCCTTTTCGCAGCGGTAAACAACTTTCCAATGGGAGATAACTATTTCGCGCCATTTTTGTACTATTATCGTTTATTAAAAGTCATTTTCTGAATATGATGACAAAAAACACAGTCAAATGTTTCAAACTTGAAAACGTCCATTTAACTTGACATTTTGAACTAAAAAATTACACCAACAGGACATGGCGGATTGAAAATATCACAACTATATAGAACAATGAAATCAATTGGAAATAAAGCATAAATAATATAATATCTGTATAAATAAAGATGAAAAATGACATGCATTAATGAAAAAGGATGTAAACAATTTTAATAAAGTAATTATTCACCAATTTAGAAAAAAATGTGATGTGCCACTCTTCAAGCTGGTATTGCATGAATATTACAGACACCAGTACTTAACTATCATATACGCGTCTGGTGCAATACAATTGGTATCGTTAATTTATTACACATCTCTCAAAATCCACCAAACATATTGGAGGATAGAACTATAAGCAAAAACAAGGAAATTTAATAATGTAGATAATTAAAAACAAAGTGATCGAAGACGTTACAGATAGTCAAGTGCCTGAGACGTTACATGTACAAATAAACAAGTACCTGAGACGTTTCGTGTACTGATAGACAAGTGCCTGAGACGTTAATGTACAGATAGACAAGTGCCTTGAAGGTAATTCTTTTCATTTTTCACTATGAATAAGAATATGTGGTATGAGTGCCAATGAGACAACTCTCCATCCAAGTCACAATGTGTAAAAAGTAAACAATTATAGGTCAAAGTACGGCCTTCAACACGGAGCCTTGGCTCACACCGAACAACAAGCTATAAAGGGCCCCAAAATGACTAGTGTAAAACAATTCAAACAGGAAAACCAACGGTCTAATCTATATAAAAAACGAGAAACACTTATGAATCATTGCATGTTTTACTTAAGAAATCTCTAATTTACTAATAAAACAGTCAAAACACGGATTTGATAACTGCAGTGTCTCATCCTTATGTTCCACGAATTTGCGGTCATAGCTATGAATGATCCCATAAAAAATAAACGAATACTACTCATCCTTAAAATACAATGTCCATCACGTCAGCGATCATATTCCGTTGTTAAGTTCATCAAAAATGATTTTCACAAATGTTTTTGACATCTGAGTATCTATACTACTAAAATGACGAGGTCTAATTTGTTAGCCGGCATGACGTAAAAACGACGAATCAAAGAATTCAACTTTATATATAACTAAAATAGGACACTGGTGTTGTTTAAAAATTTCACCATTCCAGATCCTTTTGTTTTCTACATAATTAATAATACCAAAAATTAACAGGTTCCTGGTCGAATCCGATACCGATACCAATAGTATATGTCACATGTAGTTTCCGTTACCTGTTACCTTCTATAAATCCCTCCTCTATCAGGAGAACCTGGAATTCTTCCAGTAGTTGTTTTAATCTATGTTAAACTATAGTACAATATTTAACAAGTCTGTTTTCTTCCACCTCAATACCACTATTAATTTGGGTTAATTAGTTAAAAAAAAAATTATTTAGTTTATAGTAAGATTATTGTAGTAAGAAAACCAGCTGAGGACGGGTAAACAGAAAGATTTTGAAAGGAGAAACTGTGCACCTTACAATCAGCATGACTTTATCAGATGACGAATACTAAAATCTAGGCTAAAAATAAGGCAAAGGTACCTTAATTCAGTCACGGACCCGCGATGTCGTGGGTGTGTTCTAGTTTAATATATAAAATGAAGAAGATGTGGTATGATTGCCAATGAGACAGCTCTCCACCAGAGACCAAATTACGTAGAAGATAACAACTATAGGTTGATCAGTTTACAAATACAATCAGTTGTTTTAACTGAAACTGTATTATTCTCTTGTTTTTATTGAATCCCTTGGAAAAGAGAAAAGTTTTAAGCGAAACAGTGTGTAGGTACATTGTAGTACTGCCGTATGTCTGTTTAAGAAGGATCTTTAATTACTGGTTTCACTGTTTCCTGATTTATATGATCTGTTGAAAGATGTTTTCGATTTTTTTATCTTACTTTATACTGTGTTGTCTTTATTTTAGAATGAAGGATTCCAGATAATTTAACAATTTTTAGTAGACAGTTTACGTTTTTTGCCAAAAAAAACCTGTTTTTGTGCTGTCAAAATATTATTAATATTTTTATTTGCTGTAAATTTACCGTTTATAACATATTGAATTACTACAAATATTAAATTATTTGTAACCCCTGGTATAGATTGCCTTTGCCGTATCTGCACATTAAATTAAATTAAAACACGTTCTTCAACTTCATATTTGATTTTGCCTTCCAAAAGTTTTGATTTGAGGGCCACTGATAAAAGAGAGGCGAAAGAAACCAAAGGGACTTTCAAACTCATAAGTAGAAAATAAATTGACAATGCCATGGCTAAAAAAGAAAAAGACAAACAACAGTACACAAAACACAACATAGAAAAGTAAAGACTGAGCAACACGAACCTCACTTAAAACTGATATGTCTATGTAGACGAAATGTGCATTGGTGTACCAAATCATAAATCTGGTATCTCTGAGAAGTTTTTATATATCTTTAATAAAATAATGATTCTCCACAAATCTCTATTTTTTTTCTTTGTATTATTCCTTTCTGATATTCAACAAGAGATTATATTTGGTAGATATTTACTAAAAGAGATTTAGTCAATGCTTTTGACGATAAATTCAATGTTTGTAAGAAACAACAGTTTTTGTGACTGTTTTGTGTCCTATGAAGTACCAAAACATAACCTTTCAAAATTATTAATAATCTGAAAAGGCCAAACAGAAAAAGTTTTGTGTATTTTGGGTTTCCTCCTTTGAAAAGAATTGGGATGTAAGAAATGTTTTTTTTTTTTTGTTTTTTTTTTGTTTGTTGTGACTCAATTTGTTTTACCTTGAATGTATGGAGAGACCTGCAATTTTAAAAGATTTTACTTACAGAATTGCCAATAAAAACTTAAGGGTATGCATTTGTAGGCATACAACAATTGGGTAGGTAGGGAGAACAAGTATTTATATTTGATCTAAATTGTTCAGTGGAAAAGTGGATGCTGCACATTATTTTGCTAAGAAGCTGACAATATTCAAAGGTCATTAAAATACTGTTTGCATAAAAATAGGATACACCAGGTTTAAAACAAGATTTGATTTAGTCTCCTTTTGTCAATCGTCTATAAGACCCACCACATAAAATAGAAAATGTTTGGACATTATTAACACTGGTTATAAATTTGTCATTATATCATTTTAAGGAAGATATTCAGACAACCTTGTTTCAGATTTATTTTTCGTTTTCCATTGCTAATTTTTATCTCTCACAAAAACAGGAAATAATCAAATGTTTTACGGCCATAATACAGTTTGTTTATTATCATACGGAAACACTAGGGGAAGTAAACAAATTGCAATCTAATACATTGATTGCTTTGAAGACTGATTGATCAGCATGTACAGTTACATTTTTCTGATGTTTTTGATTATAATCATACGTTGTTCATATATCTACTGTGGTTCATGTCACATAACAGGTAAAGGCCAATGCAAAGAAGCCGACTGTTCTTCGAGGAAACTTTCAAATGTGCCAAAGGATTTACCAGATGATATAATAAAACTAGATCTGAGACGAAATTTAATCGTCAAGTTAACAGCAAAAGCGTTCATTAGTTATCAGAATTTGCAGATATTAATTCTTGATGAAAATAGGATTTCTTATTTAAAAGAAAATACGTTCGCAGGGCTTGAAAAATTAAATACGCTGTCATTGTTTGGTAACAATCTCGATCTGAATGCATCGTATCACATGAATATATTTTCGCCACTCGTGTCCTTGAAAACTCTAAATATCGCGAAAAATATGAACAAAATAAACGGAGAGAAAGTGTTTTATCCGATCCTTTCTGAACTGCATAATCTATTCATTTTGGAAGTGGACTTATCAAAAAATCCAGTATTTAAGATGAGTGGTTTAAATAATCTAACAAGGTTGAATACTCTGATGTTTGACTTTTGTTATCTGGATAAAATGACCAATAACACTTTTTTGGACATGCCAGCAACAATTGTGGACATAACGTTCATCGGATGTACGATAAACTCTGTGGCAGATGCTAACTTCCTTAGACCGTTTCCTTCTTTGCGCAGTCTTCAGTTGAAACGAGTATGCGTTGATTACGACTCTGCATTGAAAATTTTATATCCGTTCGAAAACAAAACAATGAATGAGATTAAATTTGAAGAGGTTAATCCAGGATATTGTGATGGATCAGTCAGATCTCCATATGCTGTCATTGTTACTGCTAATATGATGAAATATTTACAAAATATTTGTGTACGAAAATTATCGATGATAAAAAATGGTATTGTGGACTTCAAACCAAATTCACTTTTATTTTACCATCATCCGGAATGTTTTAAAGAAATAGAGTTTTCTGGAAATAGATTTTCAATAATGAACGGATTCAAAATAAAAGAGTTGATTATTCTGATTACACAAGTATCTAATCTTTCCAAATTTCAGTTATCCGGTCTCTTGGGAAGCATCGCATATTCAGAAAACGGTTTCAACCAAAACCCACTTTTTAACAAACATAGAATATACCCAACTGAAGTAACAGTTCCGTTTCCTCAAAATTTGAAAAAGCTGGTTTTGCGCAATTTTGTAGGATTTCAAGAGACTATACCACAAATACCAATCCGTTTTATGAATATCAGCAGTTTGAGTTTTCTTGATCTGTCCAATTTTCGAATGAAGTATTTTCCTGAAGTTTTGTTCAATGGTAAAAATAATTTAAGATATACTGATCTTTCAGGCATTGATTCTACTTTGTATTCAGGAAGAAAAAGCATTCCATTTCTTCAAAAAACATATACTTTGATATTAAAACAAGCAAGGCTTGGGCTAACTTTCAAGAGAGGTAAGAAAATATTTAACTTGGTACCATCAGTTACAAAGCTGGACATTTCATATAACCACTTGTGGTTTGTACCAAACGACGCTTTCAACTCTAACAAGAACCTGTGTATTCTGAATATGGGTTACAATTTGTTTTCTGAAATACCAATAGCAGTCATGACATTGTCGAAGTTAAGTCATCTTACTTTGGTACATAATTCACTTCAAACAATAAATTCAACATTTAGAGATTGGTTTGATATGCAGAATAAACGATTGAAAACAAAACTAAGATTGAATTTAGTTGGAAATGTTTTTAAATGCACTTGCGAAAATTCTGATTTTATTTTGTGGCTTTTTCATACAAAGATTATATTTGACAGTAAGACCATTACATTTAAATGTTCATTGGTAAATGGAACCATAACAAATACAAGAAGAGTTTATGAAGAATTTCATCAACTTTTTAGTGATTGTAAAAGTGAAATTTGGCTTCGTGTTGGAGTTTGTTTGTTAGTTGGATTCATCGCATTTACTTTACCAATTGCAATTCTAGTTAACTTTAGGTGGCGAATAGCCTATTGTATATACCGTACATTCAAAATGGTTGTCGAAAAGGATATGAAATCTAAATTTAGATATGATATCTATTTATCATGTGCAGACGATTGTTTGGGCTGGGTTAAAAACACTTTGATTCAAAAACTCGAAAATTCATGGAAAATGTCTGTGTGTATAGAGGATCGAGATATTTTAGCTGGAAATATTCGAGCTGATGCAATTTTGCAGTCCATCCAGGAAAGCAGAAACATTATATTCATCATTTCTGAAGCATTCAGTGATAAAATCTGGGGAGGTTTCGAAATTCACAGAGCTAAGTACGAAAAATATACAAGTAATCTTCATAAAATTATTGTTATAACAAGACATGTCAGTGTAGAGAATTTCCCTTTGGAACTAGGCTTAATTATCCATGATGTGGTACTCCTTGATTGGTCAGACGAGGAAAGTGATAATGTTTGGGACAAATTGCGAATGACGCTATTTTCAGAATATGTATGAAATTACTTTTTGCTAGTGTAAACATTATGATATATTATGATATACAATACTAAAAAAAAATTAAGATATGTACAAACTAAATGCAATATGCATTGGTCTGTTTTAATCAGTTACAACATACAGACTTCAAAGTCTACGCATAGATAATGTAAGTATATACTAACAATGAATTTGGAACAAACAATATTATTTTTAATTTTGTTCTCTACATTTGCCTACCATGTATATTAATATTAACGTCACCAACTTAACTGTATCATCTGCGCATTTCGACAATTATTGTGATGCTCAAGGTCAAAATATTTGAAATTTCAAAACCTTATACAAATGTTGGTGAGGTGATAAAACCAAAAGTATCAACTGAAGAAAAAAATAAAACAAACACATTTTTTTATAAGTTTTCCATAAAAAAAAATTGTCGACGAATGTAAGCAAAGTCAATATCACATCACCTCAATTGGTTCGTATTATCAGAAACAATACGCATGAATACCCATACAGTCAACACCGTCAAACGGAATGTCTTTTGAAAAATGTACGGGAAGTTGTCACTACTCAGTTCACATAATCTGTCGACAGCCACATTTTTAGTACTACATTAAAGAAACATAATTATACATACCGTTCAATGACGTTTTACACAACAAAATACTGCTAACGCAAGTAATGATAAAGGACGAACACCTTATTTACTGGATTTAAGTATCATTTTGCTGAAGCTCAAATAGCAGGAATCAATCTGGCATTCTCTTTTACTTCTCAATCCTCTGTTTGACATTAGAACCAGTCCATTCGGAGGCAAAATATATTTCTAAAAGATCCTCTAACAGGCACTTTCACAGTCATACTATTTTTACTATCTTACGAATTACCTACCTGTGTAATCAGACATCAACATTTGCTCTTGGTCTATACGTTAAGCTATATCATGTTTTTATCCTCAATTCATTTTTTTTTTATCATTTTTTATATTCCCATTTCAAACCTCACCAATATAGTCGGTGAAGTATGTATAGAAGGAGATGTTTATCCTAGAGGCATCCGGTCCCGCTCCTTTTGGAATTCATGTGATTCCATCAGTTTTTGATTCTTACCTTGGTTTTTACCTACTCGATCTCTTTATGAGATGAAAATGGGTAAACTACAACGTTGCTTAAGTTGAATGGTATTATATATCATATTACATTTTGTAGTTGTAATGTTTATAGTTTATAAATATCAAATTCAAAGGGCAACGAAATCCAATTAAGGAATAACAGTACTGTAGTTGAAGAGTGTCGTCGTCAATTGGCGATCACTGTTATTCCGATTATAATGCATTACAAAAAAGAAATCATACGTTAGAACTTGAAGAATATCTTTAAATGTGAAATAAAATAAAATTCCACGTCGTTGCAAACAAAGATAGATTCTGCGCAATTTTTGGAAAAGTGCTAATTTAACAAAGACTAATAGGGGAAAATCAATGGTGATATTACACCTATACCGAATATTTGCAGTAGCGCCATATTTAACAAATATATACAATGTATATTTTTATAAATGTTGCGTTGTTGTCCAAGCAAAATCTCTTTAAATGTGTACTTCACGTAGAAATTGAATTTATATTCCGCTTCGTAATTTGTAAAATATCATAAGCACAAAAAGTTTATATATTTTGCCCATTTTTCTTTACTTTGAGTATAGGAGAAGACCTTCAATTTTGTCATGTTTCACAGTACCTATTACAACTAAGGGATGGACATTTTGAAGCATACACAGCTAGAGTGTGTATCTTGGCTTCAGTTGTTCATTGTGGAAAAAGTTATGTTAAACACTATACTCTCAAGTACCTCAATATATATATGCTTAGGTCATATAAATAATGTCTTATTTTATTTTGGACAATAATTTATGAGGAACACTAAATAAAACAAAATTATTTGGACATTATTAACACTGGTTATACAATTGACATTATGTAATTTGAGGAAGATATTCAGACAACATTATAACTAATGGATCTTAATTTTTGCTGGTTTTTTTTATACAACAAACAGGTAATAAAACATAAATTTTATTACAAAAATCATCAGATGAAAACACTTAGGGAAGTTATCAAATTACATAATATAACGCTAATTGCTTAAAAAGTCAAATGATCAACATGTACATTTACATTTTTCTAATGTATTTGATTACAACTATTCGTCTTTCTTCTGTCTATTGTGGTTTATGTCACATAACAGGTAAAGCCAAATCCAAAGCTGCCGACTGTTCCTCGAGAGGACTGTCAACTGTTCCAAAGGATTTACCAGATGATATAATACAACTGGATCTGAGACGAAATTCAATCGTCAATATACCAGCAAAAGCGTTCATACGTTATCGGACTTTGCAGGTTTTAATTCTTGATCGAAACAGGATTTCATATTTAGAGGAAAATACTTTCGCAGGGCTTGAACAATTAAATCAGTTGTCAATGCTGGGTAACAATCTTGATCTGAATGCATCGTATCGTTTTAATATATTTTCGCCACTTGTGTCCTCTAAATATCGAGAGAAATATGAATAGATCAAATCGAGACCAAGTGTTCTATCCATTCTTTGGTGAACTGCATTATCTATCCAATTTGGCAGTGGACTTATCACGAAATCCCGTATTGAAGATGAGTGGTTTGAATAAACTAACAAAGTTAAATACTTTGTTGTTTGACTTTTGTTATTTGGATAAAATGACCAACAAAACATTTTCAGACATGCCAGCAACAATTATCAGCATCACTTTCACTGGCTGTAGAATACAGTCAATTGCAGAGGCTAACTTTCTTAGACCTTTTCATTCTTTACAACGTCTTCGGCTTGAACGAGTGTGCATTGAATATGAGTCTGCTTTAAAATTTTGTATCCGTTCGAAAACAAAACAATGGAAGAGATCAACTTTAAAGAGGTTAATCCTGGATATTGTGATGGAGTAGTCAGATCTCCATTTGCTGTAATTATTACTGCTGATATGATGAAATATTTACAAAATATTTGTGTGCAAAAATTGTTGATGATAAAAAATGGTATTGTGGACTTCAAACCAAAATCACTTCTATTTTACCATCATCCGGAATGTTTTGAAGTCGTAGTATTTTCTGGAAATAGATTTTCAATCATGAATGGATTTTAAATAATAGAGTTAAAATCTCTGATTATAAAACTATCTAATCTTTCACGATTTCAATTTTCCGGTATTCTTGAGTCAAGTTCTTCTCTCCGTGAAAAGACTGCAGCTTCAGGGGTTAGAACCGAATGTTTAGAAAACGAATTAACTCGATATTCGATTTTGAACAAGCGTAGGATAGATGCAAATCAGGTTACAGTTCCATTTCCTCAAAGCTTAAAATCTTTAATGTTGAGCAATTTTGTTGGAGTTGAAGGGACTATACCACAAACAATTAACTTCACTAATATCAGCAGTTTGATTGAACTTGATCTGTCCTATTTCAGAATGACTTATTTTCCTGATGTTTTGTTCACTGGTACGAAAAAATTAAAATACATTGACTTTTCCGGAATTGATTCTACTTTGTATTCAGGAAAAGAGAACATTCCGTTGTTAAAAAAAATCAAGGGAATAAAATTAAAACACGCAAGGCTTTGGGTAACTTTCAAAAGAGGTAGACAAATTTTCAGCCTGGTACCAGCAATAACAAGGCTAGACATTTCATATAACTTCTTGCGGTTTGTACCAAACGACGCTTTCAAATCTAATAGTAACCTGTTGACTCTTAATATGGGTTACAATTTATTTTCTGAAATACCAATAGCAGTCATGACATTGTCGAAGCTAAGTCATCTTACTTTGGTACATAATTCTCTCCAAACAATAAATTCAACATTAAGAGATTGGTTTGATATGCAGAATAAACGAATTAAAACAAAACTAACATTGAATTTAGTTGGAAATGTTTTGAAATGCACCTGCGAAAATTCTAATTTTATTTTGAGGCTTTTTCATACAAAGATTATATTTGACAATAAGAACATAACATTCAAGTGTTCATTGGTAAATGGAACCATAACGAATACAAGAAGAGTTTATGAAGAATTCCACCAACTTTTTAGTGATTGTAAAAGTGAAATTTGGCTTCGTGTAGGAGTTTGTTTGTTAGTTGGATTCATCGCATTTACTTTACCAATTGCAATTCTAGTTAACTTTAGGTGGCGAATAGCCTATTGTATATACCGTACATTCAAAAAGGTTGTCGAAAAGGATATGAAATCTAAATTTCGATATGATATTTATTTATCATGTGCAGGGCTGGGTAAAACACACTTTGATTCAAAAACTCGAAAGTTCATGGAAAATGTCTGTGTGTATAGAGGATCGAGATATCTTAGCTGGAAATATTCGAGCCGATGCAATTTTACAGTCCATCCAGGAAAGCAGAAACATTATATTCATCATTTCTAAAGCATTTTGTAACAAAATTTGGGGAGATTTCGAGATTCATAGAGCTAAGTACGAAAAATATACAAGAAATTTTCACAAAATCATTGTTATAACAAGAAATGTC